ATACTCTAGGGAATGACACGTGGTCTGAAATGGGAAAACTTTACGCCTAAGCTAAAGAAGTCTATTCTTTATCACAGTAATATGATATTTAAGTGGTTATGTTTTGGGAATTACGTTTACATATTGCGGTTACGTGACAAATTTCCAGAAAAGAATCCTGAGTGATTTTTACTGAGAGAATTTGACGGAATGTCGTGCCTTCGGTCCACATTTGACAAGCTTTTTTATTCCTTTGTTTTGTAGGCTGATCCTCGTAATGTTGAAACGACAAGTGCGTGCGTCGTTCTTTGATGATTAATCGCCAAAGCTGTTCTCACTTGCCACAAAAAAGTAACAACATGAAAGCTGTGCTCGGGTTCATTTGTTCACTTAAAGGTTCATTCATGTCGATATTGTTCTACCCGGCGCCTGTTTCAATTAGCGCGCCAACAAGCTGCATGAGCTGTGATAAAGTGACAGAGAAAAGACGTCATAGCAATGCTATTTGAGAAAGTACTTCAGAATTACCGCTAAGAAGTTACTAGAGATTGAAAAGAGAAAGTTTTGTAAGTATTTATCACTGTAGGCCATGCGACGTTTTCTTGCATTTTCAAAACTTAAAACAAATGCTAATATATCTTGTCAAGAATTCGTACCCATTATCTAAATCAACTAGTTCAATGATTTAAAAGGGTGTTCACTCCAAAAGCATTAATTTCTTAATTTAAATTGCCCTATTTCACTATGGCGTCACATCAAAACAATCTATTGGACTATTTCTTAAGAAATAATTGGACGAGAAAAATTCCGAGGACTTCCAAAATTGGATGAGACCGTAGGCCGAGTCCAATTTGGCAGTCAGAATAATTTTTCGAGTCTAATTATTTCTTGATAGGGGAGCATGAAATCCCATTACCTATTTATAATATATAGCTGCCTAATTAATCCCATATCAACAAGATCTGTCCAATTAAGAAAATAATTGGACAGTTACCTATATGGGATTAATGAGAAGCTGTAGAATTATTACAGTTATTATGTAAAAAATTCGCAAAAGTTTGAATGAAATATGTCTGTTATCATAGTCTTTGTGTAGACTTGTCAACACATTTTGTAATTCACACTCATATGTTTCTCATCTTACCAACTGCACCACTTTTCTTTTTTTCAAAAAGAATAGCAAACCTGAAGGTCAGGCCGACAAAGGTTCTGATTTTTTTTTTTTTTTTTCGCTTAAGAGAGGCGTTGCATACAAGTGTTTATGATTTATACACACGCCTCTCTTAAGGGGAAAAAAATTAAGCCAGAACCGTTTTCCAACTGAGCTTCAGGTTTGCTGGCAACACACCATATCGACCGCATACCACAGAATAATATGAACGCAATTTGATCTTTGCTTTGATAAAACTAGGGCTTGACAACGCCTATGAATCAAACCTCTTAAACATTCTGACAACAGTGAATGATAGTGGCGTCTGTAAAACAAAGCTTTTTTTCATATTTTTTGTTAATTTTCAATGCTTAGAACGGTATTTTTATTTTATATAAACCGAGTTTGATTTGAGAGTAAACGTCTTGATAGTCACGTCTGTAAAACAAAGCTTTTATGACGAATGCTTAGTATTTTAATGACGGCATGTTGCTTCGGAAAAACATATATTTTTAGTTAATTTTCAATGCTTAGAACGGTATTTTTATTTTATACAAACCGAGTTTGATTTGAGAGTAACGCCTTGATAGTCACGCCTGTAAATTAATCTAGATCTAGAGATAATGATTTATAAAGACTTTATGAAAAACTCACAGAGAAAAGGAAGGAAGGAAGGAAGGAAGGAAGGAAGGAAGGAAGGAAGGAAGGCAGATTAACGTGACCACGGTTTCATCGTTCCCTACATTTCACTTTACCTTTTGCAAACCTTCTCGACAAAGACAAGTATTCTTTTGTTTATCTACTACTTGGAGATTTTTGCGATTCCTTTTCACTAATTTTAAAGAATTTTTTAATGGTGAACTGACGTTTCACGTTTGCCGTAAACAAGAAAAGAAGGACAAACGAACGACAACCAAGCCACCATGAATCAATCAACGAACAAATACACAAAATGCATTGACATACATAATTGCCGTACACTTTCGCTAAGATAAAAATAGAAAGAAAATCCCAATATTTTCCTACAATAACAGCCAGATGTTTCTACATTTACACAAACCTAAATCCAAAAATACACCTTTTTTGCCAAAAATAATTTCAAAGCTCATTTTTTGTTTTATTGCGTGTGATAGACGTTTAAGTTCTGGAAATATCTAAAATGCCGCCTCATTTACTCCGTTACGTCTTTGTGGTTTTCGATGGGTTAACATCATTCTTGTTTTTCTTTAACGTTTTCAGGTCATAAAGAAGTTTCTAATCTTTCTACTAAGACTTTACGTTTAAACTCAGCAGTTTATAAGTTTTATTTTTACAGCTGGTGTAAAATAATTAATGGTTTTCCGAACACGTCTTGTTAAATCTGGATTTTCCCCTGTTTTGTGGTTGTTGGTCATGGGAAAAATAGGATGGGCTGTGGTCAGAACGTACGATAATATCTCTCATCATTTTATAGAGTCTTATTATTTTATAAACCAGCTTTGTTCTTCAGCATTGATGGTTCCTTTTCACACACTTTATGAATTCGCTCATTAATTTTTAATGTCTTTATTAAAAGCTACTTCTATCAGTTTATAAAAATCCTAATCCCTGAGAGATGAACCTGGAAAAGACTTATTTATTTATTTATTTTATTTTATTGTTAAATAAACCCATATTGAACAACTTATAACTTTCGACTTAACAGCTTTTTTAAAAGCGAATTTATCAGAATTTCATCTTTAAGTTTAGAATTCCAATCATCACTGGAATTCTGCTTGTGGCTCGATAATACAGCTGTAATTTTATCTATTCTTTGATAATAAAATTAATTTAAATAACCAGAGATATTTCCGCCATTTATGGCTCTTTTCATAGCTAAAGTATTTTTAGATTCTCCTACTTCTGTTTCAATAAAAATAAAAATAAAATAAAATAGAAAGTTTGTGTTTTGTGCTAATTCAACTTCATTGAATGAATACATGTTGAATAACTTTTTACCTATAGTGGGCGATAATGAACCTCGAACCACAAATTAATGGAATATTCTTTTAAATGTGACAAATGGAAAGCCATTTAAATGTAAATGCTAAAAATGGACTTGGGATTTTAACTAAAACTTTAAACTAGAATTATAAAAAATCGGACATTTTCAAAAAGATTAAAAAAACAACAACGAAAGTCATGAGTCATGATTAAGGTATTCTTTTAATGGGCTAGCTTACGAAAACCTGTTGTTAAAGATTTTTTTTAATCGATTTTTTCAGGCCGTTGGTGGTTTGACGCGGTCCTGATTCCACGTTTTCCATTTTGCCTTCAAGTGCCCCGGCATATGCCATATTAGATTTCCTTATGGTGACCTTATTAAACACGTAAATAACGTTTCTAGAAGGTTTTCAAATAGTCCACTGTTCTTCTCTATATAAAGCCTGAGCACACTAGAGTTGTTTCACAGTTACCTAGCCAGTTCAACGGACAACAGCTCGTTTGAGGGAACAAATTCTGGACAAAATGAAAGCCTTCCTCCTCGTTGTCGTCTGTCAATTCCTGCTGGCTGATCTAGGTAGGACAGCAAATGATAATTCTACGCTTTTATTTAACAATGAAACAATTGTTGACTGACTCGTTCACGAAAATTCTAGATCCTTAAATTTTAAACTTTTTTTTCGTTCAATAGACCCAGTTTTAATACCTTTTGAAAATCTTATCTTGTAGTTTTTTGGATTGTTTTGAAATTATTTTATTTTAGTTTTTAGTAAAACAGTTACTGCTGAAAAGTGTCAATATAATCCTTCAAAATTATTAATGATTTTAATCTGCTTATGTACGAACACCATTAGTTAATCGTGAGAAAATAAGTCAAAATTTCTAATAAAACTGTTAAAGAAAATGGCTCGCTCGTACGCTTATCTAATATTTTCAGAGGAAAAATTTAAGTGAAATTTTCAACATTTTCTAGCAGTATTTTGATGCAATTTTTGGAGTTTTCTTTCAAAAAGAATTTGTACAACATGTTCTTAAAAAGTCAAGTCAAGGTTAAATAATTTATATTCAATAACTTACGACGCCCTTGGCTCCAAAACTATATAAAGGAATCAATAGTTTGCGCTTTCGATTGAGGATAAAAGAGGACAAAATTTCAAACCATTTGGTGTGTTAAAAAAGGCCAAGATACCGTCCGAGTTGTTGTTGTTGTTGTATCTCAGGTTTCATTTTCAACGGTACTTTACGAACTATTTTTGCTATCAAAGAAGGCATTGTACTTTCCGCTTTTTTTTTTGTCCATTAACTGATCTTATTTTAAAATATGAATTTATTTTCCTACAAGACGATTGAAGCCGTCGTCCTTATAGTGTAAATCATTTTTCTTAAGTGTGAAGATGAATCAGAAATATTCTTTTAACTTGGGTGTAGCGATGTTTAAATATCTGTCTGAAGAGTTCCGCATCCATCCTTTCGACCCTAAGTCAACAACAGATTAACTTTATCTTTCTTAACTCTAACATTATACTTTTCTACTCTTCAAAATATTATTCAAAATATGTTAGTTTAAAAACTTTTGCGTCCTTTAAACATTTGGGGATTTTGAAATCTTAAATTTTTAAAATTATTTAATGCCTTAAGGGGGGTCTTTTAGATAAATGTTTTTAAATAATTAAGATTATGTAATTATGTATTATAAAATTTAATTAACTCTTTACGAAACCACATAACCCTTTTACGAAAACAAGTAGATTAGTTTTAAGGAAAGTGGTTATCAATTATAGCACACTTTTAATTAAGTAATGTGTTCAGCTTTAGGGGCAGTAATTTGAACAAGAAGGAATACTATTTACAAACGGTTTTTTTCATGCAATGTTAAAATATAGAGAAGCGGGCGTTTTCCGACTTTCGTTCAAGATATATAATAGTACTTTCTTTGATAGCCTTATTCGGTATTATTAAATAATGTGTGCTGAAGCCTTTTTATTTGAACTCTGCCGCGAGACAGATATTATGAAATATAAAAAATATATCTACGAACAAAGAATATTTTTCGTTGTAATCGATTTTTTCAAGGCCATTTTCTTTAGGGAAAAGTTCGTTTTTTTTTTTTTTTGATGCTATAATCACTCAACGTACGTAGTCCAACCAAGAAACTAAATACTCATTATTCAGAATGTAAATATTTGCTTTTCTTCTTCTCTTCTCTTCTCTTCTCTTCTCTTCTCTTCTCTTCTCTACTCTTGTTGTTATTCCTGGCCTGTCGATACACCAGTTTCGCATTCGATGAATGCCGCTGTTTTTGAAGGCCAGAGACTCATTTGCATAGGCTTATCCTCTTATTAGTTAGCTATTCACGAATACCATTTAAAGTCCGTGGGATTTCAAAACATTCGTATTGTTTCAGCTGCTCATTCTTTGCATTACGATAGACGACCGTTTTCTCAAGCTTGCGTGCGCATCCAAACTTGACGTGCCACGATACCAGAACACGAGTATTATCATGCATCGCTATGAACTTTTTTCGATAAGAATTCATAAAATAGATTATTGTCCTCTTTAAATATAAAACTGTCTTCTCAATTTTACTGAATTTGCGTTTTTCAGTTTTTGCGTCAAGTTGGATGCGCACGCAACCTTGAGAAAACGGTCTGTTGACTTAATCTTTTGCAAATGATTGCCTGATTTACGGAATACGAAATAGGCTTCTCTTACATTACTATAGGACTAACATGTTTTCATTTGATTATCGTAGCCACATCATCGATGTTTGACATGGAAAAGTTTCTCAAATCCATGGACACTGAGAAATCCTCGGTCAGCCACCAAGAGGAGGAATCAATTCCAAGTTCACTTCTCGATGAGTTCACTACATATGTTGATGGTCTGATGTCCTCAGACGACACGTCTAGTCTAAGTCAGTCTGATATGAACCGAGAAACGAAGAATTACTTCAATGAACTACGAAAAACCATGTCGAATGACCCGATAAAATACAAACTTAAGCCCGGACAAGTCCCTCCCTTAGGTAAGTCATTGCGGAAACCTATCGATTTATAATATAATATAGGTCTTTGTTCACTTTTCTCAAGCGTGACCATGCACAATTCTTTGTTTTACCATTGTTTTACCATTGTTGGCAATGGCTGAGTGAAGAGTCAAAATCTTTCTTTTGGCTGCTAGTTCAAAATACTTAAAGATTTATAAGAGATATTTGAATATTCCATACAACAATCCCATAGACAAAGTGAATGTTTACTTATTTTGCAATTTCGGATGAGCATAAAACAAACATTGTGCACGGTCAAGACCGGTTTAACCTCAAAAGCGAACAAAGACCTATAACAATAGGTTTCCTAACCATTCCCCTCTATTAGAGTGCAAACAATTAATCCGTAAAACACTAATTACTAAATAGTACAAAATAGTGCTAACTAAACAATAGAAAACAATGTAATTTACATGAAATTGTGTTATTTAGTATTACTAAAGTTTCACGGTTATATTGTTTGCACTCTAACTATGATGGCAGCCCACAATTCAATCGTTTTACATGAGAAAGAATCCGATAGTCCGCTTCACAGTTCCCGGCGCCATCTTGAAAGGTAGGCGTGCCTTTGCATTGAAGCGAGACGAACGGTGAGCTTGCAATGATAGAGACATGTGAATAATTGTCCAAGGTGTTAAAAAAGGTCTCTATCATTGCAAGTTCACCGTTCGTCTCGCTTCGATGCAAAGGCACGCCTCTTTTTCAAAATGGCACAGGAAACTGTAAAGGGGACTACTCCCGAGAGCAACGGGATTTTATTGGTATGTCATCTAACCACAGGCAGCCCAAGCTGTATTATGGGCGCCGGCAGGTGATGGTGCAAAGCTTCTATTGGTATTGAATTTGAGAGCTTAACATCCAATCGTGGTTTTCAGGCTCGCGCGGTCAGTTCAACCCAAATGTTACTGATCATTATCTTGTCTTGTTTAACAGAGTGTTCCCATACTCCCTTTGGATGTTGTCCAGATGGCTCAGCAGCACCATCAACAGGAAAAGAGGGTTGTGCAAGTAAGTAAAACCACGCTGCCGCTGTCACTGTCACTGTCACTGTCACTGTCACTGTCACTGTCACTGTCACTGTCACTGTCGCTGCCGCTGTCACTGTCGCCGTCATTATGATTATCATTTATATGCTATTTTGTTATTTTTCTAGTGCTACTGTGCGAAGATATTTACAAAGACAAATGCAATGAATTACTGACGACTGGACAACTTGACTGCAAGAAAATGTGGAGAAAGTGCGCATTTTCATGCCGTCGATGCAGTAAGTAAGATCTTTTGAGTTGCAGTTATGCAAATATTCATCTATCTATTTTTAGCTGATCTGAAAAAACTGTTAGCCAATCAGAATCGAATAAATTTGAAAAAGAGAGAGTATTTTTTCCTTAAAATTATGGATATCAAGGCCACCAAAAAAAGTTGCTAATAAGCTTTTTATTAACAGTAACATTAATAAGTTTATTGTTCTTAAGTTTTTCAATGACCTGCATTTTTTTACTCACATACGTCTTTTCTACATACATCACAGTTTCAGATCAGACTTCTGGACTTGTATACCAGTCGGAATGCGTGTCTGATTGTTAAATAGTCCGGTGCCCAGACACTAGAGAAAAACGTTTGCGCATGCGTGCATTTCAGCACGTTTTCTAGGAATTTTGAAGAGTTTGAGTGAGAAAATAAATGTTTGTTTTCTCCAAGTATACAAAAAAGTTCGAGAGTATACTTTTGTCATACCAAGATACTGTATTTACAAACACAGTATGAAAGAATTAGCCTTACGTTTCAAGCATGGACACTTAGTTTTGGTATTTTGTGAAGTCCAATTTATCAGGCATGTTTAAAAGTCAAATTTTCATATGTTTTGACTAATTTGCGTACGGACTTAAGCAAGTTTTTCACTCGTGTCCTGTGCCCAACCAACTCAGAGCCAACCTTGAGGCGGTTACACTAATCGTACTTTCCCTTCGACAGAGACAGCCGCTGCTCCAATATCCGATTGTGAAAGAAACTACCCTGGGGCTTTCTGTTGCTGGGATGGAAAGCCAGGGACTGGGCCCGAAGGAAAGCGATGCAGACGTAAGAACTCTTCTTAAGCCCCGTTTACACTAGCGATTTTTGCTGCGATTTTTTTTGCGATTTTGTCCATAATAAATAATCTTAAAGAATTTACTTGTAAAGTTTTTTTCAGGATACCAAGATTTTCCTAGACGAATGTCTCTTTTGAAGGATGAGACAAAAGATTTCATATTTCCGAAAATTGCCACAAAAATCGCAGCAAAAATCGCCGCAAAAATCGCCTGTGTAAACGGGGCTTTAAGCATCGTATCTTTGGATAACGAGTAGTCAATTCACCTTTTCGTCGCTAGCCGTCACGTGGTAAAAATTGTGTTGAATTGTGTTACGGTCACCAAGAAGTTCGGACATTGTTCTCGGATTTCCGTACAAATGTACTGACTTTAAATGAACTATTTACTTGGTTTGTTTAGTTAGTTCTCTAAATACAAGTAAAATATCATTTTTCTAGCTTGATTGAAGCTTTTCTTACTGCTGTTAAGAGAGCTAACTAAAGAAATCTTTCTAAGGCCCCGTCCACACTATGCCGGATAAATTTGAATCCGAATTTTTATTTATTCGGTTCCATTTCAAAAATTCGTTTTCGGTGAAGAATTGTTCCGGATTCGCCCGGACTAGTGTGGACGGTAGACCTAACCGAATAAATAAAAATTCGGATTCAAATTTATCCGGCATAGTGTGGACGGGGCCTAAATTTTCTCTTTAAAGTCAGTGAATTTGTATGGGAATTCGAGAACGATGTCCGAACTTTTTGGTGATCGTAACACAATCCAACAAAGTGTTTACGACTTGACGGCTAGAGGAGGCTTTGCATTAACAAGTGATGGCAGCCATGACAAGAAGCAGGATAGTTTTCTTGCTTTTTCATCATGACAGCAAACTAATTTTTTATATCCTTTCCTTTACTTTAGCATGCATTGATCATTACCATCGCGCATGCGCAATCTTCAAGGAGGTGTCACGTGGATGTCAATCAAATTCATGGAGAATTCGAAACTTCATGCAGACGCACTGTCCAGAAACTTGTGGAATATGCTCTGCTTAAGGTAGGACACTATCTCGTCTCTGATTGGCTAAGAACAATCAGCTAATCTCTGATAGCGTGTTAACTTGAATAAACCATTTTCGAGTTCCAAATGACTGCTGTGTTCCTTGATTACAGACTCATTTACTCAGGCTTAGCCTCGAATCAGTGTCTAAATATTCACAAATACCAACGGTAAAGTAAAGAATGCACAACTTCAACAATACAAACACTTTGAAATTTCATGGGCCTTCACTGGAACACGTGAATATTCTGCACAAAGTTGAGGCTAACCCTGAGTAATAGAGAACTCGAAACTGGAGAACTGACATCAAAAAAGATTTGAGGCTTTACACCATCACGTGATGGCAGCCATGACAGGAGGCAGGAACAATTGAATCTGGTCTAATCTGATTTAAATGAGAAAAAATCCAGTTTACTAAGGGAAATAGACTATTGTTGTGCCTCCTGTCATGGCTGCAATCACGCGATGGTGCAAGACCTAAGGCTTCTTTTATATCTTAAAATTCAGACTTAATAGCGATGCCTAAGGTCTACTAATTTGCATTGGGCTATTGTGCATTTTCACGGGTTTATGAAAACTACCGTGTCTATAATGCTAGAATTCTAAGGCCCCGTCCACACGTATCCGGAAATTTTTGTATCCGCAAATTATTTTTTGCGGATACGAAAATGTTTGCGTCCACACGCAGCGTATTCGAATCGTTTTCACCGTCCACACGTATCTGTTTTCGTAGAATTTGAGGATACGGACACAAAAATTTGCGGACACGTGTGGACGCAACCCGTATCCGAAAAAAAAAAATTGCGGATACAAAAATTTCCGGATACGTGTGGACGGGGCCTAATAACTCCATTCTCCAACGTGGCGCATTGTTTTAATAGTTTCATTGTTTCTCTCGAGGAACTAACTTTGTATACAGTTATTTCAAAAAGGGTTGAATACTGAATACTGCATAGTGCATTCGAAGACCGAAGTGTACTGTGTTACATAGTGACATTGTCTAAAGAAGGATTAATAACAATTATTTAGTCTATTTTTAGTGTATTCCATCTGAAACAATATACTAACTACATGTAGAGAGTTAATTGCTGTATATTTACTTTTTAATTCAAATTAGCGAGACTCACAATAACCTTTGGTCTTGGAATGCACTATTCAGTATGCAGTATTCAACCGTTTTTTAAATGGCTGTATATCTCTTATATTTCAGCTTTAGCGTCTTATCCTCGATCTGTTTTGCATGGGTGTTGGGATTTCTGGGAAAAGTTGAACGTTATTCTTCTAGATAGACCATATGAAAAAGGACGTGTCCCTTGAGATTCCTCAGTTCATCAGTTATAGAAGACAACAATACTTTCATTCAAAATTTTCAAAATTTCAGTGTGGTAACATTAAATGAAAAAAAGCTACAGCTGTTTGAAATTAAAATTAGGTTCGTATGGAAACAACAACCAAGGGCCTACCAGCCGCGCTAACGTGTTTTCGGAGCTTTTCAAATGCTTCTTTAATATATGACAACAGAACTTTCCGAAATTACTAATTTAGACAAGGTCTTTCTTGTAATGAAAAAATATTTTTGAAATCATTAATTGTTCGTGGTGCTCGTTCCCAGTCTTACACTCGTTTTTCATATGGTCTATGGATATAGGTAGTATATTACGTGGGTATATTTCTTCATGATAAGTCACATGAAAACGATCTTTTATTCGATGTTCACTTGTACCTTTGTAATCGTTGACTATGGGATTCGGGTCGTTAATGAAATAAAATCTTTCTTACGGAATAAGGTAGTCTGTGGTGTCTATATATTCTCATTAAGAATTCCTTATTTTTTTCTTTGTTAGAAAAGTTGGGTGCATTCTGGTCTACGTTGGGTGCAAACAATACCATATAAGGCATGGTGAGCAAAGTATGTTTGTACCCAAGCTAGACCAGAATGCACCCTGTTCCCTATCCCAGGTCTAGCTTTGATCAACACCATATAAGGCGCGATGAACAAAAGACCAAGCTAGACCAGAATGCACCATGTTTCATATCCTAGGTCTAGCTATGATCAACACCATATAAGGCATGATGAACAAAAGATGTTTGTACCCAAGCTAGACCAGAATGCACCTTGTTCCATATCCCAGGTCTAGCTATGATCAACACCATATAAGGCGCGATGAACAAACAGCACCATGCACCATGTTCACCGCTTATACATGCTATATGCTGTACATACGAGATGCACTTCTGGGCCCGGTTGGACGTAAGGTTGATAGCGCTATCCGACGGATAACTCTTGTCCACTGGGTAACAGCATCGACTTAACCACTGGCTAATGATTTATCCGTTGGATAGAGCTATAAAACCGGGCCCTGACTGTAATTAGGCGATTGACAAATGCGCCCTAATATTTAGGATTTCTCTTATCTTTTTCAAAATGACCTTTTTAAAATTTCATCTGCTAAGGCAAATAAACTAGGACCATACTTCCAGACATCGAGTGCTGAACCGTCGTATGGCAGCGCGAAGCATTTTCGGCTACGCCGGAGATTTCGACCCCGACACCGCGCTATCCGGAGATTTACAGACTGATCAGGAAGCTCGGCCGAAGCCTAAGGGATAGGTTAGTCGGCCCCTAGACCGTAGATGATTAACTCCTTGCTATGACCAGCAAACTCGATAATACAATTGTGTCACCAATTTCTTACAATCCAAGGTCACTCCTTCCCATGTGGGATGAGAGACGTGGAGTGAAAATCGAGATCTTGTTTCCATGTTTTGATAATCTTTGAGAAAAGACACTTTTAACATCCATAGTGAAGTTTCAATTTAAATTTTCGAACATATGAACTTTTGCAAATTTATGAGAAGACCTAACCAATCATTTTAAAGTCAGCGATCCTGAGATAGACCATGCGCTCTGACGACCTGCCAATGAGTAGGGTCTGGGAACGAGAATGTTGTATACTGTAGTTAAAAATATCGGAAAGTTTTCTTTAGCCATTCCGAGGTTGAGAAAAACAGGGGGAGGCAGGGGTGGCTGAGGAAGCCAGGGCCATCACCTTCGTGACAACAAAATGGCGGCATTTTAGATTTTGTAAAAACGAATCGTTAAAAGTAATGATTTTTTAAAAATGTTTTGACTTTGTTCGGCGTTTCGGTGATGACAAAATTGAGAATTTTTGAATTTGGGCCTTCGACTTCGAAAAATACTGGCTATAGATGGACAATTTATTTCTGAGAGTAGCTTTGTCCTTTCAACTAGAGTGAAGTAATTAAACCCGTGCAATAGATATTAGACTAATACACTTTAGTAGACCCTAATTCCATTGTTTTCTTTTGTGTCTATTTGACTAGAGTTAAGTCATTAAACCCGTGCAATAGATATTAGACTAATACACATTAGTAGACCCTAATTCCATTGTTTTCTTTTGTGTCTATTTGACTATTACACGTTGACTAATGGTTTTTATTTTACGGGTTAAGCCTTCACTCTAGTACGATAACAGGTTAGTACCGTCTGGAAGGATAATTCATTTCTGCGGAGAAACAAAATGGCGGATTTTGGGCCTTCCCCTTCGGAAAATACTGCCTACGCTCCAGGAAATGCCATTGCAGTGCATTGTGTTCTAGGGGACACATTTCTAAGATGGCATTTTTTTACTCGGGCTACCTGCAAGGTAGGCCGAGTCTAGGTTTGGGTTTGTTATCAGTCCATCTATCTATCCATCGACGACCACGTGGATCATGAGATCGAGACGTCATTCGAAAATACTACATGGCTTGCTCTTGGTTCGTGTCTTAAAAATATAAGACCGCAAAGTTTGAAGACCGATCGCGCACTGCTCATATATCTCAAAATTCAGTACTCAAGTAGGACCATAAGCGTCAATGTAGCCCGAGTAAACGCACAGTTGTGCGTCTAGTTTTATTAGAACAGTCCCTAAAAAGGCGCTGCAATGGCATCTCGACCCAGTTTTTTTACTCAACCTTGTAATGGCTATTTTGAAATACAAATAAAAACTGAATGAATACTGGATACTGTGTTTTATTATAAGAAAAGCTCGGATTCTGGCGAGCGACATAGCTATGAATTGTTTCTGGATTGATAATATTTATAGGACTGGACTCATGATGACCAAATAAGTAAAAAAAAAAAACCACGCTCCATGGACCATAATGCTTTGCGAGAATACAAAACTGCCGAACTCCAAATCTGACGTCACTTCCGCTAGCCTACAATAGATCTCTTAATTCTAACGTACTTCCTGTTTAGGCTGCGTTCAACTTGTAGGTTCAAACTAAAGTTCTGCGAAGAATGTTTTATAGTGGGCTTAATAAGCAATTGCAACCGGAAATACGTCACGACTAAAAGTTCTATCCCGTGCTGACGTCAATAATCCTTTGCAGGCATACAAGGTAACGTCTCGTCGCGTCCGCCATTTTGGATTTACCTTCCAAGGCCGACAAATGATAGTTAGAGATTTCAATACCCTCTATTAGACATTCAGAGAATAAAGAATATATTGGATCGAGTTGGACTGCTATAGCAAACGAAATAGCCGCCATTTTGGAAATATTTTTCCTAGAACAGTCCAATTGATATCGTGGATCTCGCAAAGCATTGTGCTCACATGAACGACTGCCATCTTTGACGCTACAATCCTTCTATTGGGCTTCCTGTTAACCTCGCTTTCATGCAGAGGCCAGGTTACCTTTCAAGATGGCGGCAATTATGCGTATTAAGATCTATTTTCGAATGATATACATATCTTTATATCTAAATAATAATATTAGTAATAATAATATCAATATAAGGCGACGTGTAAGGGGTCACGTGATTATTTTCCCCCACGTTGAGGATCAAATTGAATTTTTTTAGATTAAAAATTGTTAATTTTAGTCGACTAAAATGTTTTAGACATGGCCACAATGTTGGATGATGTAACCAAAAACATGGCCACCATGTTGGATGATATAACCAAAAACATGGCCGCCATGTTGGATGATATAACCAAAAACATGACCGCCATGTTGGATGATATAACCAAAAACATGGCCACCATGTTGGATGATATAACCAAAAACATGGCCGCCATGTTGGATGACATAACCAAAAACATGGCCGCCATGTTGGATGATATTTCATAAAAAACCAATGGTTTTTGCCCAATTCAACCAATAAAGCGGCTATGAAGTCACACGAATTTCTAGAAAACTATTACTGAATTTGTTTAAATCATACCAAAATTAACAACTGGCATATCCAATATGGCGGACAATATCACGTGATCCGCGAGTCACTATCGCTTATTGAGGGCATATTTGTTCATTGAACACACTTAATTTTTAAACGGCAATTGATATACATTTAAAGTTATATAAAGAAATGTCTAGCCCTTTCAAATGGGCTGTAAAGGCAATTTCATGTTAAATCGATGGATTTTGAATCTTCAAATTCGAGTTGAATTTACAAAACTTCTAGGAATTTTAATTTTGATGGCGTTAATTTTTAAGAAATTTTATCTATTTTACAAAGGAAATTATTCAAGTCCATAGACTTTTTGTTAGTGGAACTGTACAAATATGAGCAGAAATATGACTAGTATAAGAGGCTTTAGAAAATGTCCTCGTTGATAAAATTTTATGGAAAAAGTGGGTTCACTGAACACCACGACATATATCTTCCTTTTTCACTAGCTGACGATAAGCACTTTAGTATATTCTATATAACGCAAACATACAGTTCACGACAGCCATGTTGTAAAGCAGGAGTGCAGAAATATTTTTTTGAGAAGAGAAATTTCGTTTTCCAAAAGAGAAATTTTCTATCGTTTTGTTGGTAAGACGGCTGCTGTGAAACCCTTAAAATGGCTGCAAACCCATCCCGAATGGAATTGTGGTCTAGATTCTATCTTTCAACTCCCCCCATGAATGTCGCCACTAATCCAATTGGTTTAAGTTTTGATATCATTTTAGGAGGTGTTTATCAAGGGTACATTTATTATGAGGCTCGAAGTAAAAATGCTACTTTCTGTGAATAAGTTTACTGTATGGACATATCCTACTCACGTCCACCCCCTGGAGTTTAGGACTGTCACACCACCCCAACTTCAGCACTCAAACCTTGGTCCATTTCTTCTATCATGTGACTTCCGGTTTATGCACGAACACGAGACTACCGGAAATGCTGAATCCCCACTCGGAAAACACTACTTAAATACATATCGTAAGCTAGGCTCACGTGGTTAGAGATGACCACGTGACCAAGGTGATGAATCATTATCATCAATAATCAAGCAATAAGAAAATGGCGCGAAAACGAAAAAGCGTTTCCAGCAAATCCTAAACAAGAAGGAATACCGACATGCGAAATATAGAAATGGCCGCAGGCAAAACTAATATCAAGCTAAGAAATGGGTTGCATAGTTTGGAAAAGACAAAAATCCACTACGTTTTCTCTCATAGACTGCATACCTCTCTTATATATCCGTGACAAAGTTAACTAACAAAATTGTACAAATTAGAAGAGATAACTAGCTAAAACTAGTGTGAGCTGCGTCGGTGTTTCTAATGAAACAGTAATGATAAAAGGGTAAATTTTACACCGTGAAAAGATGAAAAAACTTACTGACGTTTCGGACGCTAGTCCTTCTTTTACTCCAAGGAAGGACTAGCGTCCGAAACGTCAGTAAGTTTTTTCACCTTTTCACGGTGTATAATTTACCCTTTTATCATTACTGTACAAATTAGAGCAAAGTTTTGAAGGTTTTTTTTTCACGGGTTATTGGTATGCAACCTAGGAAAAACAATTTGTTATGATTCTACTAATGTTTCGGAAAATTCCTAATATGGATATAATAGCCAGGCGGTTGCCATTGGTTACATACGGTACACAGTAGATATTCTGGCGTTCCTCGCTCGTATGCAAAAATAAACTTTGTATATATAATTTCTATGTATGTTTTACAAGATGCTATGAAAAAATGGAAAATTCCTTTTGAAATTGATTAACCTGGAAAAGGAAAAGAAAGAATGAGCCGCAGAAAAGATAGTGTAACACTTAAATGGATTCCTCTAGTTACAGCACGTGATACCAAACGAGTATCTTTCCAGCAAACCAATGTAACAGCAAACCCATTCAACCACCTGACCCAGCCCACCAATCAACTGCTTCAATGACCAGCCAAACGACGAAGGTCCCATGCTTGACCGATCAACCTGCCAATCAACTGCTTCAATGATCAGCCAACCAACGAAGGACCCATGCTTGATCGACCAATCAACTGACCAATTCACCAACCAGGCAACCAATAAATAACTGCCGCACAAACAACCCAACGATTGACTGACCGACCGACCAGTCAACCACTTTCTCATCAAACCACCCAAATGAACAACCCACTAATCGACTGATTCACTAGACAATCAAATGACCGAACAAATGACCTAACGATAATACGTGAGAGTGCAAACCAGATATCCGTGAAATAGTACTACTGAGTAAGAAATAACACCAATGAAACAATTGACCGTTTTCTCAAGGTTGCGTGCGTTTCCAAGTTTAAGGAACTTGACGGGCCACGATACCAGAACATGAGTATCATCATGCATTGCTATGAAATTTTTTTTGATAACAATTCATAAAATCGATTATTCTCCTCTTTAAATATAAAACTGTCTTCTCAATTTTACTTAATGTGCGTTGTTCAGTTTTGTGACCCATCAAGTTGGATCGGCGCATGCAACCTTGAGAAAACAGTCTGTTAAAAACAAAACAAATATGTGTTTAATCCTATGCAGTTTTTGTGCTATATCATGGATATACAGTCAATTCAAAAAACGTTGTCGTCGACCGGCTCAAGCCTACGCGACTGGACCGAAATGGATATGGGTAAAAATCACTGAAGCGGTTAAATATTCGTTCGGATTTAATTGTTCCCACTAGTAATAAGATAATAATGGCGAAAAACAATCCATCAAATGCATGTATTTGGTTGTAGGGAAAAAACAAAGTAGTTATGATTCAGTTCACAATTTCGAAAATATGAAGGCATTAAAAAAACGTCTCCTTCAGCACTTCCCGCTCGCCTACAAAGGTTCGTGCTGTAAACCAGGCATAACTAGTCAGATAAAATCATGGAGTCAACTCGGCTTCAATGATTACTACCCAGAGTTGCTTTCGGTCCAGTCGCGTAGGCTTGAGTTGGTTGACGACAACATTTTTTGAATTGACTGTATAGTTTGCACTCACTCTACCAAGCTACAATAGCTTACTTACCTTATTCAATTATTTCTTTTTAGTTTTGATTAATATACCAGTGCTAGCACTGCTTTCCTTTTCTGAACGAACCTGCATCTGACAACAAAACCAAACAGGTCAGAAAACCATCCTGAATAAATTAACTACAGTCAACTCTCGTCTTGGGGACACCCCGATATTACGGACGCCTTGCTATTGCAGACACATGAGAAAACACCGCGGCCAAAAATACTGACTCAGAAATGACCAAAATTAACTCTCCCTATTTGGGACGCTCGCTATTACGGACACTAAGTGACGGTCCCGAGAGTGTCCGCTGTAACGAGAGTTGACTGTATCGCCATAAATTTAAGATAGGGAGTTTTTTTACATAGGGCTAACATCTAAGGCCCCGTCCACACGTATCCGGGAATTCTCGTATCCGCAAAATTTTTTTTTGCGGATACGAAAATGTTTGCGTTCACACGCAGCGTATTCGAATCGTTTTCACACATGTCCGTTTTCGTAGAATTTGCGGATACGGTCACAAAATTTTGAGGATACGTGTGGACGCAACCCGGATACAAAAATTTCCGGATACGTGTGGAATTTCGTGGTGCTTATTTATTCCTATTTTCTGTTGCGTGTTAGTTTTGCTTTCGCTCTTACTATTTCATTGTATGTTACTATTTGCGTCCTGAGTAAACTACTATTGTATACTGTAATCCTATAACGTTTAGTTACAGAGCTAAGTACGACGAGTATGCATATCGTGAATCACGAGACTTTAAGTTACATAAGATGACGTCATGTAGCCAAGTGATACGTACGTAGAAATTGTAGAAATGATAGACGAATGACGTCACTGCGTAATTATTGAGCGATGCATCGTGGAATGACGTCATGTAACAAGGTGGCACGTGCGTAGAATTTGTAGAAATGACTGACGAATGACGTCACTGCATATATGTTGCGCAATGCATTGTGGTATTTGTAAGGTTACTCAATTTTAGCGATGAATATAATTTATTCCGTTTTTAATAGTTTATTGCTGAAATGATTTGGTTTAAGGACGGTGCGCCGCTAAAAAATAAATAAATTGAAACTCAGTAGAAATTTCAGATTGGACTACCTGTGTTAACATCAATTCTTTGAGCCTGCGATCGTTGTGGTCTTCCCAAAGAAACAGAAAATAATTTTTCCACTTTTCCGATTAACAAAATAATGCAAAATCAAACAATTAAGCGAAGAAAATCAAAAAACTTAGGTTAGGTTTGCGATCGTTTTCTATTTTTTTCTTTTTTTGTAGAAGGCCAAAACGACCGCGGGCTCAGAAGGCAAAAATCAATCCCAGCATGCCATGCGATGTGACATGCGCAAAAACACTCACCCATTGATTTCAATTCAGTTTTCTTCGATTCAATATTCTTATAATTTTTAGACGTGGATTTAGGTGACGAACTGCTACTACATTGACTGAGCGACGACTCGGAGCCTGACGAGGACTTACGAACGGCTTCCTTCTCTTTATCTTTCTCTTTGTGTTTYGATTTATCTTTGGATTTGAATACTTTACGCCATGATTTAGTACGCTTGAATTCTCCATCGCCCAACTACCAGCAACAAAAAAGATACACGTTTACGGAGGGGTTTACGTCACGCGGGGAGATCCAGACGACACGTGTCCAGATTGAATGCTGATTGGCTGTTTGAAGTACCAATAATGAATTTCGAGTAACTATATTGCATAACCATATTTGCATTCTGCGCTCAAAAATCATAACTTTATAAATTGTTTTTTAAACTGAGTAAATTATGATAATTAGGAATTTTGAAAGTGAAATTCTTGCTTGCGTCATAACTTTGACGTCATAAATGACGTCATATTTTACGTGTCGTCTTGTACCTTTTTTGACAAAAATGACGCGATTTTAATTAACTTTTGTAATATATATTCACTTTAGTTATTTAAAGTTCTATTTACGTTCATTTATTTTGTGTTTTAATTATTCATTTATTGAGAAATCGGGTTTGTTTGGCACGAATGAAGGGTAGGGTAAGGATGGCTATGTCATATATGGGGGGTAGGGTAGGAATGGTTTTCTCATATGGGAGGTAGGGTCAGAATGGTTTTGTCACTGAGATATGTGGGGTAGGGCAAGGAT